AGGTACCAATGGCAAATGATGAACAGGCTCAGATAGCATATATTTCATGATTACCAAAGAAAGTAACCTAGAAAGAGAGAAAATAGAGGAGGGCGGCAGCCACCATGTAGCAACATGAGGGCTCCAGTGAAATTCTCCATATTGCTTGCCCCAAGGCAAACCTATAGTGCAGATGCGGAAAAAGCACCTGACAAAATTCAGTGTCCATTTACGATAAATTCAGGAACAAGACAAGGATGCCTACTCTCACCACTTTTATTCCACAAAGTATTGGAAGTCCTAGTTGGAGCAATTAGGCAAGAAAAAAAAAAAGGCATCCAAATTGGAAAGGAAGAAGTAAAACTCACTGTTTGCAGATGACATGATATTATACATAGAAAACCCCAAAGGCTCCATCAAACAAACAAACAAAAAACTATTAGAACTAATAAAAAGATTCAGTGAAGTTGCAGGATATAAAATTCATATACAGAAGTCTGTTGTGTTTCTATACAATAATAATGAACTATCAGAAAAAGAAATTAAACAATCCCATATATAATTGCATCAACAAGAATAGAATACCTAGGAATAAATTTAACAAAGGAGATGAAGACTTGGATATTGGAAACTATAAGCTATTGATGAAATAAATGAAGACACAAATAAATGGAAAAATATTCCATGCTCAGAGATTGGAAGAATCAGTATTGTTAAAATGTTCATAATACCCACAGCAATCTATAGATTCTGTGCAATCCCTATCAAAATTCCAATGGCATTTACAAAGAAACAGAATAAACAATTCTGAAATTTATGTGGAACCACAAAGAAAATCCCAAATAGCCAAGCAATCTTGAGAAAGAATAAAGCTGGAGGCATCATACACCCTGATTTTAAACTATTTTACAAAGCTATAGTAATCAAAACAGTATTAAAAAAACAGACACATAGATCAATGGAACAGAAGAGAGAGCCCAGAAATAAACCCATGCATATATGGCCAATTAATTGATGACAAAGGAGCCAAGAATATACAATTGGGAAAAGATAGTCTCCTCAAAAGATTGTATTGAGAAAAGTGGACAACTACAAGCAAAAGAATAAACTGAATCACTATTTTACACCATATACAAAAATTAAATAGATTAAAGATGTGAATGTATGACCCCAAGCCATAAAACTCCCAAAAGAAAACATAGGTGGTAAACTCCTTGACATAGGTTTTGGTGATGATATTTTGAATCTGACGCCAAAAGCAAGGGCAACAAAAGCAAAAATAAACAAGTGGGATTACATCAAACTAAAAAGCTTCTGCACAACAAAAGAAACCATCAACAAAATGAAAAAGCAACATACTGAATGAGAGAAAATATTTGCAAATCATATATCTGATAAGGGGCCAATATCCAAACTATATAAAGAACTTAGATAACTCAATAGCAAAAAAAAAAAAAAAAAAAAAAATTAAAAATAAGGAGAAGATCTGAATAGACATTTTCCCCAAAAATACAGATGGTCAACAGACACATGAAAAGATGCTGAACATCATTAATCATCAGAGATATGTAAATCAAAACCACAATGGTATCACCTCACACCTGCTAGAATACTTATTATCAAAAGATAAGAGATAAGAAGTGCTGGTGAGGATGTGGACAAAAGGGAGCCCTTGTACACTATTGCTGGGAATGTATATTTGTTCAGCCACTGGGGAAACCGGTATGGAGGTTCCTCAAAAACTGAAAAATAGAACTACTATATGATCCAGTGATTCAATTCCTCTTCTGGGTATTTATCTGAAAAAAGTTAAAACACTAGCTCAAAAAAAAATCTGCATCCCCATGTTCATTGCAGCATTATTTATAATAGCCAAGATGTGGAAACAACCTAAGTGCCCATCAATGTATAAATGGATAAAGAAAATGTGGTGTGAATAATATATATGTTATTTTATATATATATATATATATATATGAATAATAATGGCACAGAATTTAGCCATAAAAAAAACAATGAAATTTCACCATTTGCAACAACATGGATGGACCTTGAAGGCATTGTAAGTGAAACAAGTCAGACAGAGAAAAACAAATACCACATGATCTCTCTTATATGTGGAAACTAAGAACAACAAAACTAAAAACCAAAATCCAAGCTCATAGATACAACAGATTGGTGGTTGTAAGAATAGGGGCTAGGGGGCAGGAGAAATGGGTAAAAGGAGTCAAAGTTTAAAAGAAAAGAGGGTCTATTGGGCAAATGTCTATAATCAGAAAAGCAAATAGGCTAATGTATAAACTTTTGGAAAAAAAAGAATCATTTCCCATGAACAACATTTCAGTTGACCCTTGAACAACATGGGTTTGACTTAGGTGGGTCCACTATACACAGATTTTTTTCAATAAATACAGTATATGTAAATGTATTTTTTCTTCCTTATTTTCTTAATAAAATTTTCTTCAGCTTTATTGTGAGAATACAGTATATAATACATATAACACAAAATATGTGTTGATTGATTATTATCTGTAAGGTTTCCATTCAACAATGAGCTATTAGTAGCTAAGTTTTGGGGAGTCAAAAATTATACATGGATTTTCAAAACAAAATCTATAATTCCACATATTTTAGAGAAAATCCTGAGAACAAAAGATTGAGAGTATCATTTTAAAGAATAAGCTTTGCGCCAACTCAGAGAAAAAAAGGTATAATAAAAAACTGAATTTCCTGAAATGAAGGAAGAGAGAAATTTGTATGTCATTCATTATGTAGGACATACATAATAAAGAACTATACACTCTGAGTGAAATTGTTGAAAGACAAAGTTAAAGGGAATATGGCAGAAATAAAGTTACCTCCTAAAGAAAAAAAATATATATCCTACTTTCCCATCTTTTTTTTTTTTTAATTTTTTTTCAACGTTTTTATTTATTTTTGGGACAGAGAGAGACAGAGCATGAACGGGGGAGGGGCCGAGAGAGAGGGAGACACAGAATCGGAAACAGGCTCCAGGCTCTGAGCCATCAGCCCAGAGCCCGACGCGGGGCTCGAACTCACGGACCGCGAGATCGTGACCTGGCTGAAGTCGGACGCTTAACCGACTGCGCCACCCAGGCGCCCCCTTACTTTCCCATCTTTAAAACAAATCATGAAGCCTTCATATTCGTTATAGCTTTTAGAATAAATATTTTGGAAATCTTCTTTTAATTTACATCTGTCTAAATTTGTCAAGTTTACTTCTCTTAATCCTTTAAGAGAAGTAGCCTTGTGTAACTATTTCTGTCATGATTTTCATTCTTTAGTATTCACGTGAATACACGGAATAGTTAAAGATTTCCTCTTATTCATAATGTTTGTGTTATAGTCTAGTTCTCTTACAGTTAAATGTCCATATGACATTGCCTTAATGACAATGAAACATGCATCAGCTGTAACTATCCATTATCTTACTAATAGCAAGATAAAAATATAGAAATCTGTATGTTAAACTAAAGACAGATCTTCATCTTAAAAAATGTAGCTGGTCTAAAGAGCTATTTTTGTTTTCAAGAGTCAGCAGACCACAGTGATTATTATTACATTTAATATTTAGTATATAGTACACTAAAGATTCTTCTCTTGATAATTCCTTCTAAACAGTATATACTCAATAAGTACTTATTTAATTTACATTTCTTTTTTTTTTCAAAGTGACTTTTAAAATTGTGTCTGTATAAGTAAAATACTCTAAAAGTTTTTCTGATGTTTGGGGCTACTAATAGACAATTATTTGATAAAATTGATCTGATTTGATTTATTTAAGATAATCAGGGAAAAGAACAAGGACAAACCAGAGCACTATTTAGAGACTGCCAGAAATATTAAAAGTTCTCTTTCTTTTTGGAAATTAAATATTACAATTACATTTGCTCTGGCAGTTATAAATATTCTGGATCAGATTTTAGCAGTTTTCATAGAATGAATGGTAATAGTGCTTATATAGCTTCCATTGATTCAGTTCAGAACACGTTTATTAAGCACACTCTCTGTGTTTGGTCCTGTAACAGTACTGGGATACAAGCTATGATGTCATTGTTGAAACAGGTCTGTGGTTGGTTCAAGCACTCAGCTGCCCTGCCTTTATCTCACAGTCCTATAGACCAAACATTTCTCCCTAGACAGACATGTCTATAAATATTTCTCCTGAGCATATGAAGTGTGGTGACACATGCTGGGGTCAGACTTATAATCGGTCCCTAGGGATAGTGTTACAGAGATGGTTCCATTATAGACCTTTTAGGAGATGGGCTTCTGCAAAGTCCTTGCCTAATATTGAGTAACCTTTGAAAATTGGGCCTTATGTATTTAGCAGAAGATAGTATTTTTGCTTATACGATGGGATATTTTCTCCAATAGACATATTTATTATCTTTAGCTGGATGTATCTGTTTTTTTTTTAATTGTAGATGCATGGCAATGTTTTTTGGAATGTTCACTGCTAATCTATAACGTATCTTAGGTTTCTAAAAATAAAAACCTCAGCAACGTCCCCTCCCTCCATCGTCAAGAGGGAGACATTTGTCATAAGATCTTCTCTTCTACTCTGTATTTCCAGTACATGCACACATTTATATGTACATACTACACTCATAGGCACTTGTGGCGCACAGATAAATTCCCTCAAAAAAAGAGTAGGGAAAGATCTCCTTTGTCCAGATACCAAGACCCACAGGAGTGCAGTGTCTGACATACGATTTGAAGTCGACACACCTACGTGTTTTTCTGCAGTAGTAGATAGAGGTGGTGGGTTTCCTCCTCTGAACACGCTTGACTATGGCACTAATTTGTTGGTTTTGTTTCTTGGCAAAATAGTTGTGATATTGGTATAAATATATATGTAAAAATATGTGTGTTTTATATGTGTAAGCTTGAAAATGTCTGCAGTATATGATATTTCAGAAAAGAAAACTATTTTCTGTCTCCAGGGGAAAGAGTGGTGGCTTTTGCAGCTGTAGAAGGGATTTTCTTCTCGGGATCTTTTGCTGCTATATTCTGGCTGAAGAAAAGAGGTCTTATGCCTGGACTCACTTTTTCCAATGAACTCATCAGCAGAGATGAAGTAAGGAAGGAAGTATTCTTCTAGTTATATTTGTATTCATTTTTGGTGTTTATTTTTCTTTCCCCTGGAAAATGCTTATAATGACACATATCCTGGTAATTAAAAGAAAATAGGAAGTAATTTCTTACTTGGTTTTTAAGACATTGTGTTTTTCTTCTGCCTCTTGTTCCTCCTCAGTCTTCCCTGCTCATCCTTAAATATCATTAAATCCTAGGTTCCCACCTTGGCCTCTCTCCTTCACTGTACATGACCTCCTGGCTGATCTTCTCTGTTTCCATGGAATCAGCTACCATTTGGATGCTCATAACAACCCCAACTTTAGCGCAGACATTCTTTTTTTGAGCTCCAAACTCATATGTTCAAGTGCGTGTTAGATAGTTTGTCCTGAAAGGCTCCACAGATATCTCAAACCTAATATTTCAGAAATAAAATGCATCCTTTTTCCCCCAGATTCATTCTTCGGTTTTCCCTGTATCATTGAATGATACTACCTTCTATCCAGTCATCCAAATTTGAATTCTGGGAGTCATTTTAGATTGCGTTCTTTCTTTCTTAGCCACATCCAACCAGTAACTAAATCTTGTCTCCATCTGCCTGCACTGCCCTTTCCATCTTCCTACCAACTTTTCCATCTGTTGATTACCTTCTTACAGGTGACAACTCAAAACTTTCCTGACTCAATTAGGTAGAATGGACCACTCTTTCCTTTATGTATCCCTTTGAAACTGGTACCTGTCCCTATATTAGAGTCCGTACATATTCTGTACTTTATTCCTCTCTCCTCTGTTGGACTCTAGGCTCCCTGTGTGCAACACCTTGTCTTATTTGTCTTTCTGTTCTCAAGATTTAGCCCATCACAGCCTTCAGTTCATATTTATTGACTGCACTAATCCTGGCCCCTCAGCTTATTTCTTTTCTTTTCTTTTCTTTTCTTTTCTTTTCTTTTCTTTTCTTTTCTTTTCTTTTCTTTT